GAGGCTGATGCAAACAATATTTTTGCTTCAAATGATTATCAAAAAGCCAGTTCACGCCTTCATGAAGCTGAAAAAAGCTCAATAATTTTTCTGAATATGAACATTGTCATAAATTATTAAGCGAACTGAAAAATCAACTTGAAACAAAAATTAATCCTCAATTAGTTGTTGCTTTGAGTGGACATGATATTAGTTCATGTCAAAAATTCTATGCAATATTCAGTCAAATTGGTAAAAAAAAAGAATTTTGTAATTATTATTATGAATCTAGAAAAAACATTTTGTAAAATTATGGCAAAATGCAGCTATAATTGATGTTGCAACAATGATGAATAAGGCTCCGAACGAATCATTGCAGAAACTGGTGCAGGTCAACATGGAGTAGCTACAGCAACTGTTTGTGCAAAATTTGGATTAGAATGTGTTATTTATATGGGCAGTGAAGATGTTAGAAGACAGGCTCTAAATGTATTTAGAATGAGATTATTAGGTGCAAAAGTTATATCTGTAGATTCTGGTATGTGTTGTTATATGGATGGCTTTTAATCTTAATTTTTATAATAATCATAATTAATCTTTCCTAAAAATAAAATAAAATTATTAGGTAGTAAAACTTTAAGAGATGCTATTAATGAAGCTATGAGGGATTGGGTTACGAATGTTCATAATACTCATTACCTTGTGGGATCAGCAATTGGTCCCCATCCTTTCCCAACTATTGTACGAGAATTTCAATCAATAATTGGAAAAGAAGCCAAACAACAAATGTTGCAAAAAGCTGGTAAATTACCTGATGCTATTTTAGCATGTGTAGGTGGTGGCAGCAATTCTATAGGATTATTCTATCCATTTATTGAAGATAAAAGTGTAAAACTTATTGGAGTTGAAGCTGGTGGTGATGGTAAATGCATTAATTAATTATGTGATTTTAAATAGATATTTTTTGAAATTCACAGAATAATAATAGTATCAATATTTTATAAAATAAAAAAACAAAGGAATTGATACGGAATTTCACTTGGCTACTTTAACTGTTGGAACACCAGGTGTATTACATGGAACACATACATATTTGTTACAAGATGAAAATGGACAAATTAAAGCAACACATAGTATTAGTGCAGGATTGGATTATCCAGGTGTAGGACCTGAACATTCATGGCTAAAAGATACAGGTCGAGCTCAATATGTAGCAGTTACTGATACAGAAGCTTTAATAGGATTCAAAAAAATGTCAGAGCTTGAAGGCATTATTCCAGGTAATAATTAAAGGATCATGATAATTAATAGTAATAATAACAATAATAACAATAATATTTATACTTTTTATATAGCTCTTGAAACAAGTCATGCCATCTATTATGCATTAGAACTTGCATCAAAAATGCGAAAAGATCAAGATATTTTGTTATGTGTTAGTGGTCGTGGAGATAAAGATGTAAGTTCAGTAGCAGAAGCTTTGCCAAAATATGGACCTAAAATTGGATGGGATATGACAATAGATTTTAAACTATAAATTTCTTGTATTTATTATATAAACAAAATTTTAATTTATGTAATTATTTTTTTATGTTATAAATTGAATCTAATTAAAAGATTCATCAGATCTTTATATATATATATGATCACAAAAAAATTTATCTATTGACAGCAATTATTAATAGAATTATTTGTGGTGATGTGATGCTCTTGATGAAAGGGCAAATACAGTATGCATTTGTTTCATCTTGAATTTTAAAAAAATAATATATGGGAAAACTGCCCAAGTTTGCTTTTTCTTCAAACAATTTGTTGGCCCAGTAAGTATAATGAAGTTGGTTCATTTAATATCAAAGTTCTGGATGGGGAATTTGACTGGTTTTATGTTTCTGATCAGGAAATAGAGCAATGGGGCACACAGCCAGAACTCGTTAAACCGATGTACTTGTTTTAGGCTTGAAAATTCTCTTTATTAAGTAGTCCTCGATAAAAATGAAGTTGATATGTTTTTAAAAAAAATTCGATTTAAAAGGTTATACATCAAAATTTATATATTCATTTGACGTACTATTGAACTTTTATGTAATAAACAACAAGTAGCAAAGTCTTTTTTTATTCGTTAGCGTAGGTTTCAATTGTTTTTAAAACACACATTTCTTTTAATGTAAATCATTTATATACAAAGTTCCGACATTATTCGTCTTATCAAGTTATTAGTTGATTTTATTATAAATGTAACTAAAAAAGCTCCGTTATAACAAAAATTCATCAAGTTACGTCATATTGTAATTTGAATGAGAAACTGATGCTTTCCTTGAGGGAATATAGAGCCAAAGTGTGTATAATTTTATAAATAGGTCATTTTCTTTCAAAAATCCAAACTATTAAGTGACCTTGAAGTATGAAGTAGTGGTTGTATCCGTTGATTGTCCGGATGTTTGAGTACTTGGTCAATCAATAAAGCTCAACACCCGGATAATCGGTCAGTCAATAAAACTCAACACCCGGATAATTGGTCATTCACCGAATATCCGCCAAATATCCATTGAATATTCATTTAATATTCATTGATTTATAATAATTATTTATTCCTCAGGAAAAATAATTTCAATACATTGCATATTTTTTTTTTAAGAAATAAAAATAACAACGGACTCAATTTTATTCGTTCGGCTGTCATTGTGTTACCAGTTTCACACAATGGATTTTTATGTTTTATATTTTAATGTGAATGTGAAGCAAAAATTTTAAAAATCCGTTATAATTATAGTCCGCTGTGACAAGGTTTAGCTGTAGACGCTCATTTGGAGTAGAAGTTACTGTAATGCATAAATATTCTTTAGATAATAATGACACAGTTGGTATTCATATTACTTGATATGTTATTATAATAGAAAGAATGTTGGTGATAGTGTAATAGTGCATAAAATAGTATTGTTAATATATTAGTAATTCTTTCAATTATGTGGATTAAAATTTTTATCTTTTATATTTCTGTACCACCGATTATTCACCGATTAATCAATCAATGAAAAATTTTCAGCACCCGATTAACCGGGTCAGCATTATACGGAAGTGTTATCAGAATTTTCCATGATGCGTAAGTTTTAATTTCCTTATCATGATCAGAATGATTTCTCCCATTTAATAGAGAAATTTGACAAATTATGTCATTATATTAGTATAAACAACAGGTGTCATTATAACGGGAGCAAATTTTTTTGGTTTTTTAAAAAATGCCATTATAACAAGATTATTATTATAACAAATGTCGTTATAACGAGAGACTCGTTCAGAATAAATATAATTTTCTGTACAACCCGTTGTTAACACTACACTGGTTAATTTAATTGCTGCATTGTGGCTTAACTTCTTTTCGTCCTCACAATATTCAATATGTGTTTTTATATTTAAAGGATATCATTTTAGGATAATAAAATAAAAACTTGTATTTTACAATAATTAAAGTACCTGTTCATAGAAAATATGTCCTATTTTAAGTAAAATTGCTCATGGAGTCTTTCATTAAAAATGATTTTTTTTTACTTTAAAAGCAAGATATTGTTTATGGTTTGAAAAAATTTAAAATTTTATGTTAGTGCTTGGATTTTACATGATAATAATGAATAATTTCGTCATTCGTAATTAATTTCGCTGTTCGTAATTAGTTTCACACGTAATTAATTTTGTAATAGTAATAGTAATAGTAAATAAATTCGTAATTACGTATTACGTTTTTGGCAAAACAATTACCACCCCATGTATATTTGTTATATTGTTATATTGTATTGTTCACAATTTTCATCTTTTTTTTTTATTTTAAAATTTTTTTTCGATTCTCTTGGTCAGAGTTGATCCTTCCTTGCTTTTCTCTTGCTGGGGTCTCTTTTCTCTCAGTAAAGATGAACATTTGACCCGATTCCCTTTTGAATTCCTTTTAATACCCATTTCCTTTGATCACTGGATGATCCTAACATTAATTTTGAATTTTTCAAATCTCCCTTTCTTCTAGTTTCAAGTTTTGTTTGATTATCCATCTTCTTTCCTTATTACCGATTCTTCCAGTTTATCGAAAAGAACTGTCTTGTTGATAATTGGTGGCTTGTCATTTGGTAGTTTTTATAATATTTCATAATCACGAGAACACATGAATTGGTAATAAAGTATAATTTTTGTTAATAATACTAGGAGTAGAGTAATAAACCAAATTTTGAAATATAATTTAATATTTATTGATTGATTTGTATTATTGATATTTATGAAAATAAATTTCTGATTATTACTATTATTGCTGTTATTGTAGTTTTTCCTACTCGCTCAGAAATTATTATGACTCAAAATTGGCTAAATAAGGTGAAAACATTGATCACACCAAAACTAAAAAAGCCAAGCACGACTAACTAGAGATGCGATCTATGGGTGATCAATCTGGATATCTGTAAAAAAATACATTCATATTCGGATTGATGGATAGCTTTTTTAAAAGGCTGGTGGATTGTGGATCAATTTTAGAAATTATTATTATTATAGTAATAGGATATTAATATCCAAATTATCCGTACAAATATTATGTATTTTTGCAACGTTAAAATAATATTTTTATCTTCATCATTTTCATCTAATTGAAACACCGATACTTTTTTCAATTTTTAATACATCAAGTCAAAATCTGTCTTCAGATGAAGTAAGTGAATATTTAAAAGAAGGTGAGATTGAATTATTCTAGTCCTTTTGATTGGCAGAAATACAAAAAATCCAGGTACCCTCTTCTTGCAAAGCTTGCCCACCAATCCCTTTCTGTCTCAGCAACTTCAACACCAAGTGAAAGATTATTCAATCATGTGGGGAATTTATTAACTGCTGAGATCACGTTTAGATCTAGAATTATTTAAACAAATGTTGTTTTTAAAAAGAAATGCAAATTGCGTTAAATTTATTCATCTACTGAGTTAATTTCAATTTGAACATATGAATTATCAAAATTATTTAATTTTAATAATATTTCACTAATATTAATATCATTGGATTATCCGTTCAATCTATTCAATCCATGAATCATCTGGATCATCATAATCAGTTCAATTCTATGGATTCTATAGATTATCCGCTCAATCCGACGCGTGTATTCTTTGAGAAATTACTAAACGACAGATTAATTTTTAGAGTTAAATGACGGATGAACGGATGACAGATATCTACATATACAGATCACATCAATAGACTAAACATAAAAAGAAAGATCATGACATGGCAAATGACAACCAAATTTGATCAGCAAATTTTGTGCGCAAATCGAATTTCGGGCACTGCTCAGTGTTGAAAATTCGGTGCGGGGAATGCGGAGGTGTAACATTACACACTAATCAACCTTTTAATTTTTGGAGATAGTTTCTAAATTTGTACTGGTTACACGACGAAATTTCAACACTGGCACTGCTTTATCGGACCAGGATCGACAGAGCAATAATTAATAAATATTTTTAAAATATCAAATTAATTTAAATATGAAAAATTCGTCATCAAGCGATTCAATCATCGAAACGAAAGCATCCAAAGCATCAAAGTAATAAATAAATCATTAATGTATTTTTCTAATACGAAAGAAAATTTTTAGTAAATTTTCAAATCTTTAATTTAGTGGAATGATTTTCAGACTTTATTTATATATTATTCTTATAATATTGGTTCCAATTGCAACTTATTACTTTGCATTGAATTATATATTTGAAGGTAATTAAATCAATCAATCAATCAATCAATCAATCAATTATATACATTTATCCAGAT